CTTCTTTTTTTGTTTTAAAAATTTGTGTGAGCAACTAAATTTGTCGGATTGTTTCTTGTTTTTGTCAAACCCTATCCGACATTTACCACACCTAGTTAGTTCGATCAGTTCAACTGATTTCCATCTCAGTCAAATGGTTTTGAACTGATGTTTTTACATTGGATTCATTGTTCACCCTTTTTTCTCGAGTATTAGTCAAGTTCGTCGAGTAATTCATCATTTTACAATGATCCCAACATTTTCGTTCACCGAACAAAGCTTAATCCATATCTATGGTTTATCTAACATTTTCGAATCTTATTTAGTCCAAGAGTTCATCACATTCGAATTCTCTTAATATGTTGGAGAATTTCTCATAACCAAACACAACCAAAGATGGGGGAAGAAGGCAAAAACCCTAATCCGATTCACATAGTTCCCGAAGGAAGAAATTTTCCTTGGACTACCTTTGAAATCACTCCTTAAATTCAAAACCGTCTCGAAGCAATGGAGATCAATTCTCGAATCGAACATGTTCGTGGAGAGGCGTATGATTCTTCAAAAGAGTCGCCGGAAAATCCTTGCTTCTTACTTCTGCAACTGCAGCGACCGACCGAGACTCCTCCCCGGGTCACGGTTGGAAGGAGATGAAGAAATCGTTTATCTCCACCGCAACCCCTCACGACAAGTGATGACTTGCGACGGTTTGGTCTGCCTCCCCGACCAAGATTGTGTCAGCGTTTTAAACCCATCCACCGGACAACTCGTGCGATTACCTTACGGTCCAGATCCAGTTTCCTCCCGAGGAAATTTATTGATTATAGATGATGATATTTTTGGTATTTTGCGTTGATGGGTCATGAAAAGAAAATTAAAAATTGAAACTTTCAGGAGCAGGGTCGGATTTCATTCTGGAAAAATGGGTCATGGGATTTGGTAGAGACAAAGTTACTGGTAGTTATAAAGTAGTGAAGATGTGTGTTGCACCTATGAATGGAGAATGTGATCTTCTTGATGAAGAAACTGAAGCTACCTCCTTATGTGGTCAGTGCTCTATTTCACTCGGTGTGTGTGAATGGGTCGATTTACTGGCTTGTCTTGAGGTTGTTAAACGCTATCCCGGATTTCCTTGGATCTTCAGAAAGAAGAGTTCCGTGACGTCTCAGTTCCGGCTATGTTGGTCACCCGGGATACTCAGCTAGCGAACCTTGAAGGCCGTCTAGCTACAGCGAAAATAAGGAATCTTGGGCCTGAATGTATACTAGAGAT